CATTTGAAGAAATATATTCAAGGAAGGAACAGATACGTGTATACCACATCACCCTTGTTTTCAAGGGGTCTCTTTTGAATGAAGAAGGGACCTTTATACACACATACTCAGACATATTTAAACCATGAACGTGTATGTTCTAAGGAGCAAACTGCGGGTCATAAATTCTAAGTGAAGCATTATTTAATACCTCAAAACTTGCAGTCCTTCTGTCGTCTTTCCTCTTGCGACTCTGGTTGCCCACCTGCTTGTTCAGCCCCCTTCCTCCCACGCGGCCTCGGCCGCGCTCCTGGCCCTCTCTCAGCCCTTCTCCTGGCTCCCAGCAGGCCAGGAAGGAACACGCTGTGGCCCGTCGTTAAATTTTGTCTCAACTTTTATGAATGTACTTAATTTTCAAATGTAAATATTTAATTTTATGTTATGTAGTCGAGAAAAACTTAAGTTAAAGATAAACCAAACACCTATTAAGGGATTTTGGCAGTTAGACTGAGGTAAGGTCTGCTCAGTATAATAGCTGAACTGAGATTCCTCTCGTGTTCTCCTGCCCAGGAGTGCGTTGGCTCTTAAGGGTAGAAGAGTATAGACTTGACTGACTTATGTTTCATGAAATAGCATTCTTTCGGTACTTTTTTCTGGTCTGCTTAAGCTAAAATCAAAGACCAACCAAGTTCATAATCCCTTAAAAATATGTAGAAGTGTTAACAGTTTAACACACAAACTAAGTTTAATGGAGTCTAAGGAAGGAAGGAAGATAACTTAGTTTATCTGTCTTTTTATGTCATACTTGAGAAATTTGTTGAAACTGCCTCCTTTCTTCTCTAAAATAATGGCTTTACTTTTATTAGTTGTGATTTCACAGTCGTAATTACAAGGTTTTTCTTTTAGAATGTTTCTACCGAATGTGAATGAAACTGTAACTTTTTTACTTAAAAATATCTTAGTGATTTCTTTTGAGTTGCTCTTTTTATTAGATATTAAAATCACAGATAACTATAGTTTTAGAAATGTATTAAAAACATTTACAATTGAAGCCTCTAATTAGGATCATAAATCATTTATCTAGCTAAAATATACAACTGTTGGAAAAGGAAAATGTACAGTGCTGTGTAGTATTTGAAACATTTTGTTGTGTTTACACACCTACCTGTTACTGAATCACTGTGATCACTGAAAATATTACTTATATCTTGTTTCTTCTTTGAAAACCAGAAGTAGTAACTACTTGAGGGAGATTTCTGTTCAAAAGTCTTGTCCGTATACTGCAGTTGAAAAATAAGTAATTTAAAAAGCTGGCAAAGAAGAATATAATTTTATTTTGCATTTCATAAAGGATAATTAAAGTCTGTTAATAATGTCTGTGAAATTATTTGATAAAACTGATGACTATTAACGGTAGTTTAACGATGTTAAAATGTCTTAATTTTCCAAAGGTCTCGCTGTTTAGGATCATACATTCCGATTCACATGCTTGTGTGAAGCCTGTTTAGAACTCAAATTACCTTTGACAACCCTGCATCTGGCAAGCTTTTCTTTCTCTCCTCTTTTGTTAATTAAGATCTCAGGATACTAATTTGAAAGATTCCAATTAAAGAAGCTTGGTATTAGACACAGATCGTGACTTAAAAACCCATCAGAACTATGTTTGGGTCCTGGATCTGCTACTTAACTAACTGTGTGGCTCTGGACAAATTATTTCACTTTCCTGAACCTTGGTGGTTTTCTCATCTGAAAAATAGGGATAGTAGTAACACCTAACTCACAGGATTGTTGTGAGGCATTCCACACAATACACAAGGCATTCCACAACACCTTGTAGGCTTTCAGCAAGTGTTGCTGGTGATCCCTTTTTGTTCTATTCCAGATTTTTTTTCCTTGGTAGGAAGATGGGTTGTTTCAAGCAGAAATTCTTCATTTACTTTTAGACAGTGAGTTTTAGACAACTCAAAGGTCTTTCTAAGTAAAGCTTGAAATTCAAGTTAAAGGAAATTGGACTGATAACTGTGCAAAAAGTAAGGATGTCAGATGGCTCCAGACTTTGATTTTATGACATCTACTGAGGGCTTCCCTGGTGGGAAGCCTTTACTTTCAAACAGTAAAGAATCCGACTGCAGTGCAGGAGACCTGGGTTGGATCCCTGGGTCAGGAAGATCCCCTGGAGAAGGGAATAGCAACCCACTCCAGTATTCTTGCTTAGGAAATCCCATAGACACAGGAGCCTGGCAGTCTATGCGGTGTCAAAGAGTTGGACATGACTGAGCACCTAACACTTTCACTTTCACACTGAGTGACTAACATTGTCACTTTTCAGAAGCTATGGAGCAAGCTAGAGGAGTGTAAAGTGGTACAGAAGTCAGCCATATTTTTGAACCTTTGCACTAAAAAGTGGGTAATATACTTTTGAAGTAGTAATTCCTGAAGACTGATTTTGTGTCTGCATTTCATGAGGAAGCTATCTTTATTCACAGAAATGTCTGTTATTTAGGGGTTGGTATTAATGTTTAAGATAGGAGTTGTCATTAATCTAGTAAATATTCAGATATTAAAATCTGTACCATTTGAAGATCTAACTGTGACCATAGCCTTTTGATACATAAAACACTTTGTTTCTGATTATTTTTTAAAAAAATAGTGTCCTTAATTGAGATCCCAGTGAACCTAAATAACTTTGCATCCTGCCTCTTTTTTTTTTCTTTAAATCTGTAATCTATGTGATGTTCTTTAGTCATCCACTTACTTGTCTAAAGCATTTAGAGGACTGCCTTTTACAGAGTAAATGTGATGCTGTGTACATACTTGGTTTAGTAGTGTGTTTAAGGTTTTCCCGTAATTACAGGTTTTCTGTAGTCCTGATATGTAGTGCTTTGTTTCCCAGTTTGATCCATTAATAAAAGGGCTAGTTAGAGGCAAGTGTGTAGTCGGGACTGGGAATTTGCTGACTCTTCACATTATGAGTATCTGAGGGCAAGCACTTCTGAAATTTTTTTTTTTAAAGGAAACAAACAAGCTTTGTGTTATTTTAATGAAAAGTTAAATATATGACATTGGGCATGTAAAACAAATTACCATTTTTATATCCTAAAACATGAGGCAAAATAAAGCTTCCTAACCTTCCTCTTATTGCTTAATTTCAGGAATATATTCTACCTTCTGCACTGTGATCATTGAAAATAGATCAGTATATCTAACAAAATTATTTGAGAATTGTATTTACTCAGTCTGTTCAGTTGCTCAGTCATGTCTGACTCTTTGCAGTCCATGGACTGCAGCACGCCAGGCTTCCCTGGCCATCACGAACTCCCAGAGCTTACTCAAACTCATGTCCATCCAGTCGGTGATGCCATCCAACCATCTCATCCTCTGTCGTCCCCTTCTCCTCCTGCCCTCAGTCCCTCCCAGCATCAGGGTCTTTTCCAGTGAGTCAGTTCTTCACATCAGGTGGCTAGAGTACTGGAGCTTCAACTTCAGCATCAGCCCTTCCAATGAATATTCAGGACTGATTTCCTTTAGGATGGACTGGTTAGATCTCCTTGCAGACCAAGGGACTCTCAAGGGTCTTCTCCAACACCACAGTTCAAAAGCATCGTTCTTCTGCACTTAGCTTTCTTTATGGTCCAACTCTAACATCCATACGTGACTACTGGAAAAACCATAGCCTTGACTAGACGGACCTTTGTCGGCAAAGTAAATGTCTCTCTTTTTTAAATATGCCGTCTAGGTTGGTCATAGCTTTTCTTCCAGGGAGCAAGTGTCTTTTAATTTCATGGCTGCAGTCACCATCTGCAGTGATTTTGGAGTCCACAAAAATAAAGTCTCTCACTGTTTGCATTGTTTCCCCATCTATTTGCCCTGAAGTGATGGGACCAGATGCCATGATCTTAGTTTTTTGAATGTTGATGGTTAAGCCAGCTTTTTCACTCTCCTCTTCCACTTTCATCAAGGGGCTCTTTAGTTCCTCTTTGCTTTCTGCCATAAGGGTGGTGTCATCTGCCTATCTGAGGTTATTGATCTTTCTCCTGGCGGTCTTGATTCCAGCTTGTGCTTCATCCAGCCCGGCATTTCGCATGATGTACTCTGCATATAAGTTAAATAAACAGGGTGACAGTATACAGCCTTGACGTACTTCTTTCCCAGTTTGGAGCCAGTCTGTTGTTCCATGTCCAGTTCTAACTGTTGCTTCCTGACCTGCATACAGATTTCTCAGGAGGCAGGTAACGTGGTCTGGTATTCCCATCTCTTAAGGAATTTTCCACAGTTTGTTGTGATACACACAGTCAAAGGCTTTAGTGTAGTCAATGAAGCAGAGGTAGATGTTTTTCTGGAATTCTCTTGCATTTTCTATGATCGAACAGATGTCAGCAATTTGATCTCTGGTTCTTCTGCCTTTTCTAAATCCAGCTTGAACATTTGGAATTTCTCGGTTCACGTACTGTTGAAGCCTAGCTTGGAGAATTTTGAGCATTACTTTGCTAGCGTGTGAGATGAGTACAGTTGTGTTTATTCTGTTTATTACAAAATTTTAAAGCATGATACAGTTACAAGACTAGGAACAGTTAATCACTAAATGAAGAAGTGTTAGTATATAACAAACCTGTTTTTTCCACATAAAATTAGAATCATTCTTCTCTCTTTCCAAGTCACAAAGAATAATGTGAAGGGCAGAGAGCAGATAATAGGAAGGTAGGTGTTAAATTTAAGCAGTAAAACTCCAAAAATAAGCCCTATTTCTTAGCCTATGTGAAATTTTTACTAACTTAAAGCAAGCTCAAAGAAGTTTGTTTAGCTTGCCATTCTTGAAAATTGTATTTCTTTTCTGTTTTATTCTTTTGTTTCAGCATAAAGATGCTTATCAAGTGATACTGGATGGTGTCAAAGGTGGTACCAAGGAAAAAAGATTAGCAGCTCAGTTTATTCCGAAATTCTTTAAGCATTTTCCAGAATTGGCTGATTCTGCTATCAATGCACAGTTAGACCTCTGTGAAGATGAAGATGTATCGGTACGTTTATGGTTGATACTTTGAACAAGTTTTCAGATGTTGCTTTTGCCATTTGCAGACATTTTCTGTGTGTGGCTAATGTAACTGAAGTACCAGTCATTAGTGCACGATCCAATACTGACGTCAGGTCTGGTCTGATGGGACAACATCCCAGGGCTTCAATCTACACAAGAGAAAATGTAACCACCTTTCAGTTGTCAAAAATGCATACAAAATACTTTGTTTTTCTTATTTATTATCCACTGTTGAAAACAGTTGTGGCTCACATCTTTTTCATAGGTTGTCAGGCAGAGTGCATATGAAATCAGACTAGCTTTACCTTGTCAATTTATGCTTCCTTGGATATTTAAACTAATAATAGCATTGCAGCATAAAATGGAGTTTCAACACCCCTAAATATTTTTCATAGCAGAAAAATAATTGAACTGTGAAATAATTATATGTGATTACTGGAATAGAAAGGAGTAGTTTTTCCTTGGAACAGAATTAACCATTAGCATTTCTGGCTGCTGATGATACAAGTTCCTAAGAGTTTTCAACTATTAGCCCCTGGCTTTTCAAATGAAATTAGTGAATCATCAACATTTCATGCATAATTTGAATTTTTATATTAAACTAGATAAGCCAAGATCCTGTATTTAGAATTAAGTACCCAGAATATATCCACAAATTCGAATACTAAAAATCCTAAAGTGAGTCGTTCCTAGCTATGACATTGGCCACTCCAGCCATTCTTGAGGGATCCTGTACGCTGTGCCCACAGCAGGTAGTAAAAACCCAGCAGCTATGTGTAGTCAGTGTATAGTGTTCCTTTCCATCACATTTTGTTCTAGTGCTTTGTGAAGCGTGAATATTAAATTGGAGTAAATTATTTCTAAAACTGTTAAAAAATCTCATATTTTATATTTTTGTGACTCATATGCCCGTAATTATGATTTCTCTTGTGCTTTTTGTCCTCTTTAAAGGTTGAGGTGGTTGTTTTTATTCATGATAGTATTTGGTTAATTTTTTATTTGAAATTATGTTCAGATTCGACGGCAAGCAATTAAAGAGCTGCCTCAGTTTGCCACTGGAGAAAATCTCCCCCGAGTGGCAGATATACTAACCCAACTTTTGCAAACAGGTAAGGAATTTTATTCCTACCCTATTATCTAAATGTAACTTCTCTGAAATAATGATTCTTTTTTTCTGAAGATTTACCTCTGATAGAAATTTAAATTCTTTTTCATTCAGTTAGTTTGAAGCTTAATGACCATCTTATTTCTAGTTTTGTTTTGAATTCTCTTTGTAAAGCTATGATGACTGGATTCTTTGGGGTATTTTGATGTGTCATGATTCGTCACCCCGCAGTTTCCTGAGTTTCTTAATTGTGCCATCTTACCATCTTAACATAAGCGCTTTCCAGGTACACTAGAGCAGGGTCTCTGCCCTGACAGGAAAGATGTATTTTCTTGGTACCTGAGATAAATGCCTGGTTTATGTCTCCTCTCAGTGTAATCTATGACAGACTGTGTGAGTCTTAGGTTTGAAATGAAGCAGATTATACACTGTACCTCTCTGTCTCTATCCAGATGACTCTGCAGAATTTAACTTAGTGAACAACGCCCTCTTAAGTATATTTAAGATGGATGCAAAAGGTAAGGCCACTTTTTGTTCTGAGGTGTGTTTGATGGCCTAAAAAATTGGGGAGTTTGACATTTCTTGTTAAGGGTAAAGTCTGGGATTGACCCAGACATCTGTTTCATAAAAATTCTAAGTGTTCTCAGTAAAAAAAAAAAAAAAAAGGCAGCTTAACTCAAGATGTTGAGTCAAGATGACACAAAAAAACCAGCAGAAATAATTCTAAAAACAGACCAAACTTTTCCCTTAGAAATATGTTGGAAAAACTCTGTTTCCCACTTCAAAGAATTCATCCAAAAGTACCTGGGCTTATTTACTATTAATAATGATAGAAAGGAATGTCATGCTCAAGCTGATTCTGAATGCATGAACAAAGTGTATGATCACTCCTATGGTTGGGACTGTAGAAATTTTAGACTGATTTAACCAGTATCAGTGACATTCATGATGTATATTAATTCACCTGAAGAGAAATGCTGTAATTCAGATTGACTTGAAGGATGTCATTCCCACATAGAATTGACTTCCTGCATGACGTCATCCCACATAGAATTGACTTCCTGCATGACGTCATTCCCATATGGAATTGACTTCCTGCACGCAACTGTTTTGTTTTTCAGGGACTTTAGGTGGCTTGTTCAGCCAAATACTTCAAGGAGAGGACATTGTTAGAGAACGAGCAATTAAATTCCTTTCTACAAAACTTAAGACTTTACCAGATGAAGTCTTAACAAAGGAAGTAGAGGAACTTATACTAACTGAATCCAAAAAGGTAAGCTTTTAGTGAACTTCTCTAATGCACAGGAACATAGTTGATTTTAGCAGTGTTCATTAGTGCTATACGTAGCTTGTTTATAAGATCATATATCCCATAAGAAGCATTGTAAAGCTTCAAGATTTTCTTATGTTGTATTTTGCACTTTGGTCACTTATAGTGGCAAATGGAGAAGACAGAAGGGGGTGGTAGAGGATGAGATGGTTGGATAGCATCACCTTTTCAATGGACATGAACTTGGGCGAACTCCGGGAGATGGTGAGGGACACAGAGGCCTGGCATGCTGCAGTCCATGGGGTTGCAAAGAGTCATACATGACTTAGTGACTGAACAACAACAGCAACATTTGTAATGATGAATCATTGTGTTAATTTAAAGGGTTCGATCACATATAAATCCTTTCTCTGTGCTCCCAGCACTAGCAGAGTTACAGTTGCTAAGATTTGAAAGGTGTGCCACAATTAGCTTTACATTCATACAGCACCAAAGTTTGGGAATAGTTTATGTGTTCAGGAAAATTCAGCATTTTCTCCAATGGCACCACTCACTTGCTAATTGGTAAGATTTCTTCAGTGAGAAAGAGAGGAGCCGCATATTTCATTTTTGTATCTGGTGGGATATGTCATGATTGCTTGCTCCTTTGGTCAATGAACAGAAAGGTTTAGACCCACCGATACAGAGGACTGAAAATTTGCATGGTCTCCTGTTTTGTTTGGGCTTCCCTTGTGACTCAGCTGGTAAAGAATCCACCTGCAATGTGGGAGACCTGGGTTCCATCCCTGGGTTGGGAAGATCCCCTGGAGAAGGGAAAGGCCTCACATTCCAGTATTCTGGCCTGGAGAATTCCACAGACTGTAAAGTCCATGGGGTGGCAGAGTCGGACATGACTAAGTGACTTTCACTTTCACTTTTCCTGTTTTGTATGTAATTACCACGTTAATGTGATTGAGGCTGCTTATAAATATAAGGAACTGAATCTGATTTAACAGTTTATTGCCAGATTTTCTCACCTTTTTTTTTTTTTTGCTATCAGCTCCTGAAGAGCCTTTTTAGATATTTTAGATTTAGAGAGTATCCTTAGCTACTTTCCCATGAAATTTTTAACACCGCACATATACTGTGTATCATATGTTTACGTACTGTATGTACCTCTGTGCTTTAGACGTAAAAAAGAGTAAAATTTCCCAAGAACCAAATGTTGTTCCCTTGGAAACAATCTAGTACACCACTGAGAGTGCATGGCTTATTCTGAAGCTAAGTCAACTGAAGCTTCAAGTTGTTCTCTCTTAAGTAGTTCAGAAATATGAGCAGCAGATATGACTTCTGCAAAACCAGTTTGCTATGCGGTTTCAATATTGCTCTTTCTTTTCCATTCAAGTGATAAAGATACTACTAACTATTCTGAATGGTCTCTTTCCAGGTGCTAGAAGATGTGACTGGTGAAGAATTTGTCCTGTTCATGAAGATCCTGTCTGGGTTAAAAAGCTTACAGACAGTGAGCGGAAGGCAGCAGCTAGTGGAGCTGGTGGCCGAGCAGGCCGACCTGGAGCAGGCCTTCAGCCCCTCGGACCCTGACTGCGTGGACAGGCTGCTGCAGTGCACGCGGCAGGCCGTGCCGCTCTTCTCGGTGAGCGCTCTGTTCTGCGCGGCTCGGGTTCTGGTCGCTCTGTCGGCTCGCAATTGTGTGGTTTTACACTTGGCCTTCTCCTCAGAGCTCTGTGTGAAAGCATTAACACAGCGGAGCCATCATTTGTTTTACACAGGCCTAAGTGAAGAGCCCAGAGCAGCAAGAAATCTCTTTAAAGTCTTGCCTAGAGACTTTTGAAAAATCTTGAGAATTTTATGTCCTACTTTCTAGTGTTCCCTGAGTTTTTAAAACAGTTCAGTAACCTAACTTCTTTTTCTTAAATTTTCTAGACTGTTGTTACAGGTAAGTTGGCTGTTTTCTCTCTGGCGTTGCACCTCCTCTGGCACTGAATCTTTTGAGAGATACATAGCAAAGTTTAAAAAACACAATTTAAAGGAGCTATCCTTTTGGGGAAATGTAGTCTAAAATTCAACAGTGAAGTTTCCCATACAATTTGACCTTAGAATCAAAGAAGAGTTCGAAGATGTATAAAAGTCCCATGCTCCAGATTACTTTGCAATTAAGTATATGCCGTCTGTTGAGGTTATTTCTGAGATGCTCTGGGATATGCTCTCCCGTTGTATTTTAGCTGTGGTACTTGATGCTTTCATACTGAGCATTTGTTGATTGACTAAATTAGACTATTATATTTGAGAGAATAAGTATTTTTTTGACAATTCAGCATTCTTTGGATTTTTACAGAAAAATGTTCATTCCACAAGGTTTGTGACTTATTTCTGTGAGCAAGTTCTCCCTAACCTCAGTTCCTTGACTACCCCAGTGGAAGGTCTTGATATACAGTTGGAGGTAAGAGAAAATTTCTGGCTTTAGAACTGAAAAGGCATTGCCGTATTTCAGCCTAAATGTAAACCACTAACTTGATCTGATTGCTAAGAGATTTAAGGCTTGGTGGTGGCTAGCTAATAACCTGGCCCAGGATTAGTTACATGGGAATGCTTTATGGATTAACTGAGAGTTTGCTGCATGGGAAAGCAGTGCCTGTAGTTTTCGTTATAGTCATTCTCTACCTTTGTAGCCTTGATGCTTTTAAATACATTGGTCAGTCATGACAGTTCTTATCTCTGTAACTGATAGTAGTAGTGAAAGTCACTCAGTCGTGTCTGACTCTTGGTACCCCATG